CTATTGTTCCTGATATCTGTGTTTTTATGAAAAAACACATCTATGCCAATATACTTTAAACATCACCCTATGTACTATGTAAATTAATATTGGATATGCAAGTCAGCAAGAAGCAAATATAAATAACCAAAAACACAACAACAGTATAGTCAACCAAATAAAAAATATATTTTCTTGAATATACCAGCCTTTCAAAATTTTCAGAGCATTATATCCTCTGCTTTACAACATCTGGGTAATTTTTTGCCTTATGATTCCCTTACATGATTCCCTACATGAACAGAAACTGTAGGTCAATGTTAGGAGGGGGGAAGTTACATTGTATAATATCAAATTTATCTATTGTAGATCATTTATTTAATATACAGTACCATCATATTCCACAGGGACTCATGGTAGTGTACATTACAAACTAAAATAATTGTAACAGTACAGTAATACAAAAATTATTTTTAAACTGTCAATCTTTTTCATAAATTTCATAAATTATAATAGGTGTACCAGTGAAGATCTTAACTAAATACCCTTTGAACAGCTCAGATTTTAAAGTTTTTCTAAGGTCAGGAGTGATGGATCTGAATTTCTGGTGGATGACTCTCCTTTAGGGTAGGTTCCAATGCTAATAAACAAGATAATCCTGTTTCCCAAGGAATTCACATGAGGATTAGAGTTGGTGGCGTGAAATGATTCTACACACCTGTTTCATCACATGTGTACCAAATTAATCAAAGAGGAACATACAGCTATTTCAGGAAATGCTTTTTCTGCATTGTGTATGGTGGAAATAATTACTGTTGGGCTATACATGCAGCTGTTGAAGCTCTTTTGTTTCCTTTTCACTATACACACACACACATAGACACCTCTGAAAATAATGGGTAGTTGTGGCTCTCTCATGTATGGTCGAAGATGGGCTGCCTCACACTACAATGTCGGCTGTGCCTGCCACAGACATAAGTTGTGGGTATATCAGAGTTTAATAAGTGTGCATTATCTTTATCTACGTACATCCGTAAGTTGCAGCTGCCGGATAGACAAGTACGCGTCACCTCAAGTAAGTCTAAGGGCTACAGACCTGACCCCTCAAAATGTTTCCCCAACCTGTGGGTGGGGGTGTGCGTGCGCAATTGTCACATGAGGCGAATATGTCCTCACAGGTCATTCGTGCATACTTCTACGTTTCTCTCTCTCTCCCGCTCACCTTCCCCCTCTGCAGATTCCCGCCTTTTCCCTTCCATCATTCTTACGAGCACTTGCTCTAATTTGCGGAGGAAGAGCCGTTGGGCGGGGAGGGGGGGGGACAGCGGTGCCTCGAGCAGAGGCGGAGCCTGGAGGGCACGCGCTGGTTCCGGGTCAGATGACCTCGCCATCAAGAGTACAACCCCGCTGACAGCTTAGTCGGCGTCAGTGCGCGCGCGCGCGCGCTGGCCGGGCAGCGACGATCCCTCGCGGGGATTCCATAGAACGAAACCCTGATAGGCTTTCAAAGGAGAGGGCGGGACTGGTTTCCGTGTCTATTTGCCCTTGCTAGCTGGCGATCGGGAAGCACTAGGCGCGCAACCAGGACACCCGAATTCGTACCGTCCATATCTCAAAATAGGAGATCCTGTTAATACCTCGAGACTGACAGGTATTAACCACCTGCACCACACGCACATTCTCCTGAAAGCTGTAGTTTCGGTGCAGTTCATTTGCCTGCCTTCACGTACTTAAAACCAGTAAGTTGGTGGGTTTCTTGTTCTTCAACAGGCCAAACAGTTCATATCTTAATCATGTGGCTGTGTTAATTAGCATGCGGCACAGTAGGTACAGCCTTAAGTATTTATATACTGACATTGGAAGCACATTCTCCCCACTGCAGAAGATTTAACTTAACTCTTTTAAAGTTAAACCCTCAATAGAGAAAATTCTGCAGCTTGTACTCATTTTAATATCCCACAAAAGGAAAATATAAAGACAATGTGCAATTGTGGTATGTACGGATTATCCTCCTTTTTCCCCTTCTAAGGGAATGAATAGGGTTTGAGAAATTCGTCTTTTTTAATATACTAACATTGTAGATATTAGTGTAACTTCTCTCTTCTCCCCAGCAAAATATCTAGGATAAGTATTATATGAGGACTGGAACACATCTCTATTGCATGTGACCTGTTTGTGGGGTGAGATCTGTTGTGCTTATATGCATTTAAGCTTCTTACTGTGTAAGATAGTAACCACATGCAGCTCTATAGATGTTGGCAAACTCCAATTTCTTTGGTTCTAGCGATTATCTTCAATTGCTATAAAGTTAATAAGTGGGCAGTTGCATGTTAAGAGAAAGTGAAGGAGAACATGAATAGGAAGCACTTCACAGTAGAGCCTAAGGTCCTTCCTTCACTTGCCTTTTACATTAACCTTACCAGGATTTCTGGTGCTAATGTTGCTCCTTAAAACATGATGGTAATCTTTCTCACCCTACCCCCAAGCCCCAGATTTAAGGTATTCTGGAAAACAGCCAACTTTTTCTGCTCAAGATGCCAAGGGAGCTATTGTGCGCAGATTTTGTTGTGTGGAGTCCCTGGGGTTCTCTGAGCTTGGTTCTTTTCTTGCAAATGTTTCATTACCCGGCTAGGTAACATCTTCAGTGCAGATTTTGTTGTACTTCCCCACTCTACTAATGTGACCAGGCTAGTCTTGCTCATTGATAGGTATCCAGGGAGGAATGAGAGAAGCCAATACATTGCTATTGACTATTCATTAGCTAACCATGGTTTTCAAAGTATTTGTTCCCTCCACTAAGGAAAGTATGCTGCACTAGCCTATTAGCTGAATGAGCACAGATCACATCACAGCAAGCTATTGCATTGTTGCAGTAAAGACTGAGGTACGCTAAGTGAGTAAGTAAGTGTACCTAACGAAGTAAGGCTCACAGTCCTTGCCACTGAAAGCTTCAGCATCAGAAAGGGAAAAGTCCCATTCTCGCACTTTGTGCCACAGAACGTCATGAGCTGGTAAGATGAATCTTTATTTTCATAAGAAAACCAGTTTAGTGCAATGAAGGTAAGATATTGGTGTTGGAAAATCGAAGTTTGTCTATGAAAGCTCACTGACTGATTTGATACCACTGTCTCTTAAGGCCAATCTTTCTTGAATGGCTGATGTAACAGAGAACGAAATCCCCTGCTCCCCTGAGAATATATCATGTTGTTATATGACCACAACAGGATTTGAGTTTACTCCTTCCAAGTAAGTTTTAAAAGGCCTTCTATTCTTTGAGAGAAGACGGGAATTCACTTTAGCAGCAAATGCTATTTCACCAATGGCCATTTTACCAATGGCCAGACATCACTGGATCCAGCTCAAACAAAAAGTTAAGATTCCAGGTATCTCAGGTCTTATGATTAAGTGATGCACACCAAAATTCAGACATTTGCAAGCTAAATTGGGCTTAAAAAGAATATTATGCTAAGAACTCAAGCAAAACATGTAAGCTTCAGGATGGTTTTTTGTTATTCTAAGAATATACTAGTTCCAAATGCAGTTAATATGATACAGAAAATTTAATGGAGTAAATTTTAAATATTAGCCAATATCAGTTTTATATTCAAGTGATGAATAAGAGAAATTGGAAAACATGGTTTAAGCATCCCTTAGGAAACCTTTCGTGTCTTATAATGCCTGTTTTGTACTTATACATATGTCGACAAGCAAATTCCTCATCTACTGGTTTTTGTTGTTACATTACATATATTTTTAAAGTCTAAATATGGTCAACCCAATTCTTTCAAAGTGAACTTCAACAGAAATTTCTATAAAAGCTATGAATAATGGGAACAGTCATCTCTAATATAAAATCCACACTTTTAAATAATATTAATTTCTTTATTAAGAATAAGCTGTTTACTACGTGTTTAACAATTTACAACCAAAAGCAGTATTATTTACATGCAGTTGACATTCTAAGAGGATATAAACCAAGTTTAGAAATTGTTCGTGGGTCAATTTTTAAAAAAATGACACTTGACGTTTCAATCACTTACAGTAAAATTCATGTTAACTTCAGCCAATTACACATTTACATTCCCAAAAAGAATGAAACATTGCATTGATAATGCACTAATTAAGCATGTTTACAATTGAAATATCTAAAACCTGAGTCAAACCTAATGATGCTCTTGATAAAAAAAGGTTCTTTTTGAGACTGGTCAGAGACTGGTCAGTGGTTAAAATAAAAGCATATACTTAATAGTCCAGAACACTGACTTTAGAATACAGCATGGCATCCAATGCTTTATTTTTTTCCATACTTTTTGTGATGTTTACCATCTTTGATCATATAAAACATGCCCCATCTATTCTTGTGCAGATTTATGCATCAATATTTATTCAGAAACAATATATCTCATTTTCATTAATTGAAGTCAAAGTGATCAATAACAAATTCTCAGGACAGCAACTTCAGTCCCACATCTCCAATTTGTTCTAGTTATTAAAAGCTCTGGAACATCAGGACTTTATTAGGTTAACCTCTGTATTTGTTGCTTGATATTTCTCAAAGCCATTAAATTTGGAGAAACGGAAGTAACTGATGCACAAGGCCAGAGAAGACTTCATTGTTTGATTTTTGTAATGTTTGTATTTTCTGGTTCCTAAATGAAATTCCTGCCAGCCATGAGAACAATTATCTTTTTTCCTTGTAATTTCCAATACAGATTCTCTAGTAATACCATTCATGATTTGTCACACTCTCTACATTTTAAAAAATAATCTGAGATCATAACTCCAACTTAATCTATGACTTATTTAAGTGTTAGGTATTTATTATATTAATGACTTTTTATGAATGCATATACGATAATAATTTCTTAAGGCGGAAGGTGTCAAACTACTTTGACTAGTCTTTGCATTGTAGATTGTCCAACAGGTTTTAAATCAGATGATTAATTGTAATGCACACAGAGTTATAGGATGAAACAACGTTAACTGAATAAACTCCTCTTGAAGCAAAATAGTAACTTCTCTTTTTTTGTAACAGTGTAAAAATTATTCTCATAAGAAATAGCTTTTGTTATCTTAATACAAATGAAAATTGCTTGTGAGACTTTTCATGGAAATGTACTCATTTTTATCTGCTTATATTATACCCAGCATTACTGAAAATTCAGCAATTCTTATTTTCCAAATTCAGCAATTCCGCTTTTGAAATTTAGCAGATAATTACAGGCTTTAAACCTGTATAAATAAAAAGCCTTATCTGACATTTTAAGTAACAACACAGGCTTAATTCCAAGTAGCAAAGTATTTTCTCTCTACTAAGCACAATTCACTATATTTGCCAGATGTTTTAAAATGTTCAACTTAATGAAATATCTTTATTTATGGAGTATGTCCTAAATGGTCACTTTCTGATAAAAACAGTAACAATTAAATGAATTCATGTCTGCTACTGTTACATTTCAAGTTATATTTTTCTATTAGCATGAAATTGGAATACACATACATATTCTCTTAATTTATAGAATACAAATAAGAAATTGTTAAATTAAGACAAACTGGGAATAAATGTCATTTTGTAATTCCCTTGCATATAAAAATCTCAACTGTCATTTCTCATGAAAAAGAAAATTCTTCTGAACAACTGAAGTGACGGACCTTGGAAACCACACAAGAATGCTTGTTTATATACCTGGGAATGGATTGCTACTTAGCATACCTTATTTTCAGTCACTGTACAGAAGAGTTCTCATCTACAACATTAGCCAACTAGTTCTGCGATTAGAAAAATCATTTAGTAGAGTTTTTGCCGATATGAAACAAGTTACGGATGTCACACAATGCTTGTCTGATGTTTTTCCCAAAGCGATGGGAATCCTAAAAAATAGTTCAAAATCCAAATTCATAATCACATGGCAATCTCATACTGTACATAATGTATGCATGCATATATACAATTTAGATTTTTTATGTATGAAACTGATTTCTATTTACTATTTTTGTTCAGTGATATGATTTTTATAGGGTTTTTTTTATAAAACCCTTTAATAGTATTAATGGGCTTTGGAAAATAATACAGACTTCATTTTATGTATTTACTGTAAACATTTATATGATGCCTATATCTATTAAAATACTGTACATTATTATAAAGTATGTATATATGTGTGTGTATGTATACACTGCTATATGATTAAAACCTTTTCATCCGAACACTCTCTGAAGAACTATCTTGACCAGTTTCGTAAAATCTAAAAGTATGGGAGCTCAGGGGGATGCTGAGTAAAGGGACAAGATGAAAATTTCAATTTCTGTGTGCCCCAACCTCCCAACCTATCACAAGGTGGTCAACTGAAATAATGTCTCTGTTAGAATGTGTAAAGCAGGAAGATTTTACATGGAGATGGTCCCAAAAGAAATAAAGTCCAACCCATATAAGGCTTTAATCATCAGCATCTTGAACTGGGCCTGAAAACCTACTGGCAATGAGTGCCACTCCTATTAATAGAATAATTATTCTATTAACCAGCTAACACCAGTCAACAAGCTGGCAGTTGCATTCTGTGACAGCTGCAGCTTCTAACTTCAAGGGCAGCCACGTGTAAACCAAAATACAGTAGTCTGGTGTGGATCCACTTAAGTTGCCCAAATGCTCTTCTAACTTCTACTGTTGGAGCCGGGGGTCCAGGAGGTCCCGGATTGCATACCAGTTCTTTCCAAAGAACTACAACTCTAACCAGAGGAATAGGAGGACAATCCATGGCATCTGTGATGGAATGTCTGACGTTTGTCTATCATCAGTCTATTACTGAAACATAACCCCAAACCAATGGATGACCTCCCCCAGCAGTCTGATGTAGGTATTGAACAGGATGGAGGGAGGATCAAGTTCTGAGGCACTTCACATTGGAATGTCTAAGACCTCATCCCCTCCTCCTCCACCAATGACTGAAATTGCTTGTATAGAAAGAAGTGGAACCACTGCAAATCAGTGCTTCCAGTTTTCAACCCTTGCAGATAGCCTAAAAGAGATATCATGGTAAGTAATATTTAACATCTCACAAGACAAAAAGAGTTGTACCACCCTTCAAGAACCCACCATAGGTGCACAATGAAGACTCTCACATCCAGGCCTGAAAAAATAACTGAAAGGAATCATCTAGGGCCTCTAGTTGCAGATTTCAATGGAGTTATTGTGTTTTTTAATACAAGTTTATAGAGGCTGGTGAATATATTATTTCATACTATCTTAAAATGCATTAAAATATTGTTTTGCACTTACGATATGATCCAACTTAAAAATTCTATTTAAAAAGTGGTATTTAACACATATTTATGTTTAATATGTCTTAGACATACTAAACTATAGAACTCAAATTGTTTTCTAGTAGGAATCATTATTAAACAGTGATAAAGAACAAATGCTATCTCATAGTACATTAGGAGGAATAGAGAGTTCAGATCACAGGAACTAATTGTTCCACTGTACTCTGTGCTGGTCAGATCCCATTTGGAATATTATGTCCAGTTTTGAGCACCACAGTTCAAAAAAGATAGTAATAAATTGGAGCAAGTTCATGGAGGGCTACCAAGATGGTGAAGAATCTGGAAACAAAGCTCTATGAGGAACAGTTAAATGATCTAGGTATGTTTAGTCTACAGAAAAGACAAATGGAAAATATGGTAGCAGTCTTCAGATACACAGTATTGAAGATTGCCATGTGGAACAGGGAGTGAACTTATTCTCTATTACACCAGAAGGCAGGACTAGAACCAGTAAATTAAAACTACAAGGAAAGAGATTTCCTAGACATTAGGATGAGCTTCCTGATTATACTAACTGTCAACCAATAGAACAGGCTGTCATGAGAGGTGGTGACTTCTCCTTTATGAGAGGCTTTCATACTAAGGCTGGATGATCATCTGTCAATGATGCTCTCGTGAATTCTACACTGAGCAGCAAACGACTGATGGCCTCTACTGTCATTTCCAACTCTATGATTTTAAGATAAAAAATGGATTTATTTTCTGTAGCTCCATTTTTTTACTTGAAACTACACACAGTAGCTAACTCTAGTAGGCAAAGTCTGAAGGAATGAAGGCCTAACAAAATTAACGTGCATTTTAATCCATAGCTGTAGATCCAAATAAGTTATTTTTTGTAGGTAAATATTAAATCAAAATTATTGTGTGTTTGCAATTCAATATAAAGGATAAGAATGCCAGTTTCATATTAAGTGTGCTGATTATTCTCTTTTTATGTTCTCTATTGTATCTATATTTTACTATCCCATGCAGCAATTACATCTAAATGGAATGAATAGTTTGGTCAGAGTATATGGTGAAAGTGGAGAAAAATAGGTTCCAGAAGCCATCTTCTCTAGGAAGTCATTTCTGAGGCCTGGATGAAAATGCGTCAGCAGCAGCAGCAGCACTATATTAGTTATATAGGATAAAGCCACTTGATCCCAAATGATAACTGCTTAATATATGGGTGGCAGTATCTAGCTGTATAGGTCTAGGCTTAGAAGCTAAGCAGAGCTGGGCCTGATTAGTACTTGACTGATAAAAACAATTCTGCAGAATGCAACGACAAGCTACTTCCATTATGTTGCTAAGAAAGCTGCATGGATGGAGGGGTCCACAAAGTCTTAGAAGTCAAAGGAGATTTTACTTAAACTTTTGGTCCCTGAGAACTTCATGAGGAGCTGGAGAAGCCTTTAATGTATGCCTGCTTACATATAAATATGCACCCCCGCAACCTCACCCAACCCACTGTAACTCCTTACTCACACACACACAGAGTCCAGCATTTCTCTTTTCTCAGTGAGGAACACAGCAACATTCTGCCCTTTTCATTGGGCATATGAAAATGAAAGGCAGTTCCCTCATAACCCAGTAATCAGTGGGTACCAAGCACCAGGGATTTGGTTCTGTCCCAGTGCCTGGAGGCTGCCAGGATCTGCATGGGGAGGAACCATCTCTGAGCTGATCCTATCAAGACTGAGGGGTTGTGAGTTTTCGGGCTGCCCAGATTTAGGGATACTCTGTCTTTGATCCTGGATGTATCTGCCTAATCAATTTGATCTGACAGGGTTAGTGCGGTCTAGGTTCTTTTGATGGATGCCATCTATCAGGACCCCAGAAGTGCACCTTCTCTGTAGCAGAACCTGCCCTCTGGAAGGAGGTTCCCCATGAGATCCAAATGGCCCCCATGTTGCTGTTGTTCAGAAGGCCTCTGGCGAGAGAGAGTAAAGCCCCTTTGCTTTGTTCCTGCTCAGTTTGTCATTCTCATGTAAAGCCCTTTGCTTTGTTCCTGCTCAGTTTGTCATTCTCATTTTATTTTATTTACTTTTTATTAACTGTATTCTCATTTTACTTGTTCTGAGCTGCCCAAAGTTGTTGGGAGTCAGGTGGCTTAATTAATTAAGCAAGCAAGCAAGCAAGCAAGCAAGCAAGCAAGCAAGCTGGAAACAAAACCTGCAGTGTAGTAGGTCACAAGTGGCTTGTGTGTTTTCCAACCTTTGTTTAGCATAACCAGAATATATACGTGCTTATTTGGAATAATGAAGTATATTATATAACAATACTAGATATTATTTTAAAAACCAATCATGTATATTATACTGTTTCTCATAGACCCAATTTCCTGATGAGATAAGCAGCGTAGAAGAATATACCTGATACAAAAATGGGGCTATTAGTGAATCAAACAGGAAGAGAGTAATGGATCTTAAAACTAATAAAATACTTACTGTTTCAGTACAGGAAAACTTGCTGGATACATGGAAATGGATGAGATTATCACCCACAATAATGTAAGACACACCATAACCATCATCAGCAACCTGTAGAAAATATATGTAGAATACCTCAGTTCTTCTACATATCCATAAAAAAACCATCTCAAGATCATTTTGATTTTAAAGTCCAGTACAAAATGCTCCATAATAGGACATATTTGTATGTTTCAATAAATACAGGCATCATATTAAAATAGTTTATCGTTCTGGGAAAAACTGAAGGGAACATCAGGCTAATATACTATGCCCTCTCAAGGTGATAGGAGCCTTTTGCTTTGTTTTCAACTAATACAACCTCAGTAGTTAAATCGTACACTGTGATTAATCATAATTATTATTAGTCAAATGAACTTATTAGAGGCAAATGGCACCATCACTAAAATGCTAGCCTTGCTGAATTTTAATGAATTTAGACCATTTAATGGACTTGTTTAGGAAATTGTGCAGGAAACATATATGGAGGAATACTAGTCCTTCGAAAAAAGCAGAATTCAACTTGGCAAAGTCCATAAATTAATGTTACCATGAGCAGAGAAGCTTCTCTGAAAATGATTTATGGATGGCACTTGTGAGACATTAAAAAATCACATAACAAAACTTAATCACCTCCCTGTTAGAGGGCTTTTTAACAACTATGGTTCTTTTTTCCACGTGTGGTGAATTTATCATTATATTCAAGTATTCCAGCCATCAACTTCTGATATCATTCTAAAATAGGGAACAGATTTATTTATTCTGGCACTTCTGTCTATCTCTCATGAATCCATGAAGAAACTAATATACAAAATATATATTCAGTTAAAACAGTTTTAAAGCTGTTGAGATAAAGATTTCTAAAAATAGGATACATTTGATAGAACATGGTTTTCTAATATGTGAGAAGTGGTCTTAAGTTGATAATGTTATACAATACAATAGATGATTAAGAAGTATATCAAAGCAATATTTATTTGCTGGAATATATAGCAATCATATTTAAAATAATAGATCTTAATTTGATTTTTTGTTCTGTAATGTCTTGTATTATTACATGATTAATTTAATAAAATATAAAAAAGAAAAATATTTAGTAACATATAGTTTGCAGAATCCTCCAGTTGGGGTTTTGTTAAATTATACAATGCATTATTTAAAGTTATCTTCCTAGATTTTTAATATATTATTCGTTGGGCAGCTAAAATAATAATGATAATGATAATAATAAAAAAATCAGCATTGATAAAATCACCATCAGTCAATTGCAAAAGACAGCTTTACTTGCAACAGCTCACATCCTGCGATGATACCTTTAAGACCATCAAACAACATCTGCCTATCCCAGGTCCTTGGGAAGTGCTTGATAGGTGGATAAAAATGCCAAATCCAGTCTAAACATCTGGCTGACTGTGCGACCAACAACAATAATAAAAAAACAGAACTTTTCACTTCTCTGATCTGCTCCAATATATAAGCAATGTAACTTCTCAGCCTTTTGTTAAGCTGTTCACTGACAGGTAGAATTAATAGATTCTACACATCTCAAAAATTGTAACATGGAAACTGGGGTAGTTGCTTAGGTTATGGGAAGAATGATTTATCTAACGTTGTTCAATCAGTTCTTTTAAAAGCATGAAATTTCTGATCAACAATTCATTTGTTTAATCGTACATTTGCTCTTTTCCTTAGATATGAAAGCTTAAGGTTCATAAATGTCATGATTCTATTGATAAATATTTCAGCCATATGATGTCTGTAGCATTGTGTGATGGAGAACGTGATTGGGCATGAATCGATTTGTAATACTAGCTTCTTTTAAATAAAAACATGCAAACATACAGGTCCAAAGCCTCCACCACTGGACTCCATTCCAGGATTCTTATTCAGGTCAATATGTTGTTGAGGTGTTTGACTTGTTGAAAGTCTCCAGGGCTCTGCCAAAACCTGGGAAAGAAGGTGTAAGAAATAGCATACTTATCAGCTGCTTGCAGCAATAAAAACTGCTATATTGAAATCAGAGAACACATGGAACTGGTTTAAGCAAACTATCTGTACTTTTGCTAAAACCCTTTACAATTACAATTTCCCCAAAAGGGATGGAATGCCACTACTGGAAATAAGCCCCAGAGCAGCAATGCTGCTACTATAATTACAGTTCACTGGAATGCATAGTTGAGTTTTCCCATGAGTAATGAATGGAAGAGTGTAAGACGTGTCAATATTCAGTGCATGTTGCTTTCAACTCTCAAAAGCCCAGAGAATATACTGTTTATTACAGCTGGGTTATCATGAAATCAGATCCCTATATATCCCAGGCTATTTTGGTGGTGGTGATGAGGAATTGCTATAAAAATAGCATAGAGAGGTAATGTGGTCCCAAGTAAAAAGCCTGCAAAATGCAACAAAAAAGTTGTAATGGGATTTTTGTGGAGAGGGTTTCTTCAGTTTGAGGGAGTGTGGAAAACAGCAATACTTGTTTCCATGGTCCACTGCTATGTTTCTGTAACAGTTAATATGAACATGAACAAATCATAGGCATGTTTTAAGCAAAGCATCAAAAATATATATGAAAGAGATAAGGAATTATGATGAATGAAAAACCTTTTAAGGCTTTTGTCTTCTGATTTTAGTGTATTTATTTTACATACATTTTAGTCTGCTTTCCATTAAAAAATAATCCCTAAGCAGGCTTCTGTGACACCAAAGTCACAGAAAGTACAGTAGTGCAGGGATGGATGACATGTGCAGTATACACGGAAAAGGCATAAAACCCTGAAAATCCTGTTTTGTTTTGTTTTTTCCATACAAGCACCTAATTCTGCACCTTAAAATAACTGCATTTTTTCTCAGGATTGCGTGAAAACTGCAGAGGATAGCCGCACAACTTTGAAAAAAGCTGTAGCTTCTTCAAGAAGGTGCAGACACATACTATGATCATATTTTTGAAACTGAATCCAAAGGAGATCATCAGGAATTCCAAAGGCTGTAGCCTAGGCCAGGAAGTCAAAAACAATCATAGAAGAAGACAATGGCAAACCAAACATTACCAAGAAAACTACAGGGATGTGTCCATAGAGGCACCGGCTCCACTCAAAAGAGGCAGTTCCTTTATCACTTTTCTCTTAGAGTTTTCCTTATTCAGAGAGCTTTGAGGGAAATGTGTTAATTCTTGAAGACTCCTTTGCCTGCTTCTAAGGAAGCCCACTTTGTTTCATATAGCTCCCAGATGTTTCCAAATCATTCCAATTTGATTCTTGATTTGGTCAAGTCCAATGCATACCCTCTATTTTTATATTCAGCATTTCTATTTCCATGTTTCCAGGCCAAAAAGGCTAAGACTGAATATGGAACAGTACTTGCAAATGACTGTAATTCTTGTTTCAACAAATTAAGGTGTTCAGAGTGTACTGGGTTGGTTTTCCTCTCCGTCTATAGTTCTCAATGTGTACTTTGAATGTATACATTTATAATCTGCAGATATAAATATATATGTTTAACCTTCTTTGATATACTAAATTCTTAAAGTATTGCTTATTTTTTTATTGTTGCAAAGGTTTTTAGCCTCAGAAAGTTTTCTCATATGCTTCAAAGTTTCTAAGGTTTTTCAGTTATTTGAGTAATAACAGGTCATTAAAAATACAGGGAAAAAAATTAAAGAAAAAAACAAATTACTTGAGCAACAATTATTATATGGTTACTTACTTCCTTGAGGAAAGGAGATTCAACAGCAAGGTATTTGGAGACCACATAAAGACAAAAAAGGTGGCGATCGATGCCAGCGCCAGTCATGGCAAGACGATACAAGAGCTGATGATTAGAAGCCGCTGCCTTGAATAGCAGACGTTTCTTTTCAGGCTGTAAATTAAAAGGGAGAAACAACTCAGTATTTCTGTTTAAATACTATTAAAACAAAATAACATCAAAGTCTAGAAAAAGACAGAGAATGGATCCAACCAACAAAGTCCCTTAAGGAGCACTTGGAGTCAAACAGACCATCCACTCTGTTTCCCTCACCTGGAGGAACCTACCCCTGCACTTGTACTGCAGATGCTCTTCTGGGGAAGTTTAATGGTTTTCTCACATGGAAAATTATTAAGGAACAAATGGATGGAGAGTAGAAAAGGGAGCTGTTATATATGTTTTTTATATTGGTATATGCCTCTTTGTATGAGAAAATCTACTGAAAATGTGACTTTAGATGTATTCTCTCAGTACCCTATAATGCAGATTCTGAAGGTGAAGTTCAAATCTTCTGACACTGCTTACAGTCTTTCAGCTGAAGCAGTCTCTTAACTCATGAAAAAATTTTTTAAAATGCACCCTATAAAATACTGCTTACAACAAAGCTGCAGGGGTTGATAAAAATACCTGCTGAGTGTTTGAAATCTTTATTATTACAACATAATGTAGTTGAAGTGCTACTTGCTGTTTGTAAGCAAGTACAGTATGAAAAACACAGCAGCTGTCAAGGGACTGAAAAATATCAATTTATATTATTGTACCAAAAAAAGGGCAATGCTAAAGAATGCTCAAACTATCAAAACAATTACAGTTAGCTCACATGCTTGTAAGGTAATGCTCAAGATTTCACAATCCAGAGGTCACCAATACATGGGAAAAAACAGCTAAATGTACAAGCCAGAGTCAGAAGAGGCAGGCGCACCTATCACATTGCTAACACCTGACAGATAATGGGAAAGGCAAGGCAGTTCTAAAAGTTTTCTATTTTTGTTTTATTGATTATAAAAGCTTTTGACTCTATAGACCACAACAAATGGATGGAACTTAAAAATATGGGTGCACTGGGGCACCTCATCTGCCAAAGAAGAATCTGCATGGTGAAAAGAAGCAACAGTTAGAGCAAAATCTGAAGCAACAATTGAGAAGGGATTCTTACATACTGTCATCCTATCTAGTTTATATGCAGTATGTATGATGCAAAATGATGGACTAGAAGAAAGAGACACTGGAATTAAAATTGCTGAAACATCAACAATCTCAAATATGGTGATTGCATCATTTTAATGGCTGGAAGTGAGGAAGCTTTAAAGAATCTTTTGCTTAAGATGAACGAAAAGAAGACAAATGCTGGTTTGGTGTTCACTATTTTAAAAAGATGTCAAAAGGAAATGCCAATCCAATGCTAATAAAAGGAGAAGCCATAACAGATTTTATCTTCTAGGCTCAAAAATTTACAGGGATGCTACATGAGAGAAAGACTGACAAACCTAAACAACATATTAAAATGTAGAGACATCACACTGATAACAAAGGTACATTTTGTCCAGATAATGGTTTTCCCAGTTGTAAAATGTCGCTGTGAAAGCTGGATCATCAGAAAGGCTGAACAAAGAAAAACAGACAGCTTTGAATAGTGATGCTGGAGAAAACGTTTGACAATACATGGGACTGCAAGAACAAATCATTCAATACTAGATGAAATAAAACCAGGCTGGGTGTGGGAAACTCTAATACTGTGATGAAACTATGCTTAGATACGTTGGACATAAAATATAAAGAAAAGAGTCACTGGAGAAGACACTGATGCTTGGAAAAGTCAATTGATAAAGAGGCCAACAGAAGACAAGGCAGATAGGCATTATCACTGATGACATAAACATACAAGGACTCAGTTACTGACAGACAATCCTGCAAAATGATGTCCTTCTCACAAAGAGCCAGAAGTGATTGAACAAATGAATACAACTGTATTGTGACTATAATCTGTATTGTGATTATGTTCCTATAATCAATGGATCAGAAAGGTGATGATTTAATGGCTTCTATATTGCCCTAGAAAACTAATGTAATGTTTTAAATAACATGAAAAATAAAAAGAGTACTTTAACACTGAAAATAATTTTTATAACCTTTTTAATAATTGAAAACAAAGAGCCAACATTTTGAAGACTTAAACTTAAGATACCAAGCATAAACAGTACATTCTGTGACCACCAGATGGCTTCATTTTTTCCCAGCTACTTACTTTCCAAAGCAATACTGTATATGCACACTCACCAAATTTATTATGCTCCATTTGGAAAAAAACAATATAATGTTTACATAAAGGTAAAAGCAGAAATTGCATCAAAAAAAGTTTCACTTCTATTTTAAGACTTTGAAGTTTTCCTGAATGTATCTCAGCCAATTTTTAAAGTATTTTTAATTTATTTTTCTAAAGAAAACAATTGAAACTATTTTCCAACACTTTAATTAGGTAGTTATTTACTACAATGTATTTATACTACTCAGGAAAGCAGACCGAACTCTTTATCTTAGAGATTGTGGGCAGCAATAAAACTTAAATAAAAATAAAGGTAACACTATGCTTGATTAGCACATTAAACTTACACTTTCATTTGAGTCTTCCATAGCTTGCACAAATTTGCAGGACTGGACAGTACATGAGCGGACTGTTTCTGTTCTACCTTCTCTAAATAAGCGGGTCATAGATGCTTCATACGTTAAGCAAAATTTTCCCATGTCCTTAACAAAAATGCAAAGTTATTTATATGCAACAGTTAAAAAAATCATTGTCAGTCACATATGAACGTAAGTCATGTTATATTATGTTATATTATATCAGCCACATAAGCATTAGCATCCATTCTTAAATTCAATACAAAGACACCTTTATTCCCAATCATTTTCCAAAATAAACTAGGAAATATATGAGAATAAGCTAAGGAATATATGATGCATACCACTTATAGAGAGGAGCAAAAGGACAGACAGACGGAGGTGACAGCAGTGGGTTTTGTTCCTGGTGGGCAAAAGAGTGTAGGTACATATGGAGGCCACACCTAATCTCCCTATGGCAGAATCTTGTGCAGGTTCTTAGCAGTTCTTTTACTGATTTCAACAGTTTAATCCCAACTACATTCTGGAATTTAATTTAATTCATAGAATTGCACTCTTAGTATTTTCATTCTTATCCCACTGAGCTTCCTCTGCCTGTTTTCCTTATTCTATCACTTTTATCATTTTAGTTGTTCCTTTCTGAATCTTTTCCATATCTGGAATGTATTTTTAGAGAATTACACGCAATGTCACATGAAATATGTGATGCTATTATATTAGTTTCTGCTTTATATACAGTCTCTCTGCATCAGTTCTCAGCACTATATTTACCTTTGTTGGGCTGTTTCTATCCCTCGGAAGAGGGCCTGACCATACTTCAATGATTATACAAGTGTCCTTGTATTTTTTAAATAATGTATTCATTATAAAAAAAAAAAACTTTTGTTAGAAAATAATAAAAGAGAAAGGAAATCAGTAATTAAAACACATGCCTGGAGAAATAAAAGCATATATATAATGGCATAATTCATTATTCATTGTGCGGATCAAAAGAAAATTATATAAGAGGCTAAAACTGCAAGATGAGAAAAAGAGCAATACTGCAGGAGACCCTTCCTGAATGGGATGTAGTTGTGAATTAACAGATCTTTACGGGCTATGGCACTGCTTGATAAAATAACACCAAACTGCGCAATACAGAGGTGCTTAAATTTCATTTTTGGGTAACTGGAAAAACACTGCAGTATCAAAGGGCTTCACTATGGAAAAGCCTGTCCCTTCCAATTAGCTACACTGGAAAGTTCATTTTTTTCATCTGGGAAACTCTGTTTTTCTTTTTAACCAGGATCTTTAAAAATAGGATCAGGTATTTTTATCCTATTTTTTTAAGAGAATATCTGAATTAGACTAAAATACATACGATACTTACCCGATAATGAGCAAGCTGCAAAGCAAGTTGCACAAATGCATCGGGACTAGTTTTGGTTTTCTTCATTAACCCTTTCCCAAATGCATCGAAAGGAAAAGAGTGAAAATCCACATCCTCTGCTAATGGTCTTGCAATGTCAAGAGACTTTTCAATCACTTCTTGGCACTGAACAATAGCAACAAGTAGCATTACAATGGAAGATATTCACAGATCACAATTTTTTTTCTACACCATTTTATCTTAAATGTATCAGTTTATCCTAAATGAAATCAACACTGATCTTACTGATCTATTTTAAGAACAAGTAACAAAGCAGACATTTTTATTGAATGCTTACTTCAGTCAGTAAGAAAGATTATAGGGATGCATTTTGAAGTATACCCGATAATACCCGATCTAGAATAATACCTGATAACACCCGATCTAGAATAATACCCGATAACACCCGATCTAGAATAATACCCGATAACACCCGATCTAGAATAATACCCGATAATACCCGATCTAGAATCGGATGTGCACCCACCTCTTCAGGGATTTCCCACTGCAGTCTGGTAGGCATAGGAATGCCTAACGTGGTCTCTCCTTTGCAATGCCCGTCTTCTGCGTATCCCAATTCAAGACAGTCAGAATACATGGCATTCTGGGGATGGATACAGTACAGATGGTTGGGGGAATGAGAGAGATAATTATAAGCATGCTAAATATACTGCTGCCGACCATAAGAGAAAAAATAAAGTTCCCTATTAAACCTTGCATTTTGATTAAAAGCTTCAACAGCTATAGATAATTTATACTTAATCCTTTCTTCAAACAGCTCAAGAAAACCTACCTCTTCCACCCCTCATTTTACTTGCACAACAGCACTATGAAGTAAGTTAAGACTGAGAGAGGTACGGGCCTGAAGTCACTTAGTGGGTTTTAGACCTGAATGGAAATTTGAGTTTCAGTTTCCTAAGTTCAGCACTTTGACCACCATCCTGTACTGAATCAGTGTGTGGCTGATGAATATGTGGTACTAAGTCCTAATCTGATAGGAAACACATCCCTTCATTTCAAAATAAGCGAGTTTTAAATTGAATGTACATTGACAAATTGAGAGCATGCATGTTGACAATGTAATATGACATCCTACATTTCTTAAAATAAAAATTATAGATTCACTAGATAAGAAAATGTTTAATAATGCAAAAACCTGTCTCTCTGTGTTCTATGACCCCCATATCTCATAATAAATTTCCACATTTCTTAGGTATGTATGCCAACTGTACAGGACTAAATACAATAGATTCATGGGATATAACAAAATCATGTGCAATGTTATGGATAAACTTCAATTATTCCGTTTCTGGGATATGTTTATTCTGTGAGGAACACAATGTCAATAATGTCTATTTTCCTGATCCTGCTTATTTGCTGGTGTGCAGTCCTAGATACTCTATTCAGAGGTCAAGGATTGCCCTCAGCTTCAAGAAAAAAGCATGCACTTCTGTTGTAAATCACCATTTGATTTATGATAGCAAAGAGTAGTGCAATTTAGGCTGCAGTTCTAGTACTTGCATAGTCTTCTGCATACCTCTTCTAGTTCCAAAAGGGATGAGAACTTTCTGCAGGCAAGAGTCACATTTGGCCCTTGAATGATGCACACCCCAAAAATAGTTAACACAACCAATACAAAAGCTACATTTGATTTGATTTCATTAAATTTCATTAAATCTAATTAATATGAACACTTTCCTGGCAATATGAATGCTCACCTCCCAAAGATGTCCGACAATTGGGGCATCTGCCCAAGAGTGTTCAGAGTTCAGGCCCATTTTACCATTTCTGAACACTATGAGAGTAAATGACTTGTCAAACCACCTATGAAAAACAATAATTTCCATAAACTGTTTTATCACCATATATATTAATAGCAATCTCTGAATGGCAGTATTTATGCAGCCAAAATGGAGCCATTCAACTGCAAGAGGGACATATCTAGAGACTTGAGAAAAGTCTTCTGATTTGCGAAAATAAAATAAAAAAAAAAGCTTTAGAAAAGATACCCACAGGGAGATGTTATGCCTACCTCTCCACAAACAGTATAATAAATATTCAGCACAGAATATGCTAAATGGTTGGAATATTGCAGAAAAACTGGTGAAGGGGCAGAGAATGAAGCAGAACTTTCCACAGTTCAAAGTGTATGTAGCAAATGCTGTACACGACAATGTTTCACTTGTTTGTAATAAAAATAGTGAAGTACAAAGTGACTAAACGACAATGTTTCACTTGTTTGTAATAAAAATAGTGAAGTACAAATACAAAGTGACTAAAACATAAAAGTTTGATTATCTTATGATATTGTACTTGCCATTCCATATGAATGTAATTGGGGGAGGGGCAGAATTTGCTAGGTGACATGAATCAATGAGTGGGAATTTGACAAGGGAGGATAGAAAAAGTTATTGGACTGTTTGGACATCCAAGAATGAATGAGAATGGTAAGTATTCTCAAGTTTGGTGAGTATTTGTTTAGAAAAACATTTCTTATACACCAATATACTTGTTTCAAATATATAGTTTAAGATGAATCCATTCATGCATATACATGGAAAACAAACAAATTGAAAAGAGTGATTGACTTGATTGTTTATGATGAAAGATTCAGAGAATTAGTGAAGGATATGGGGGTCTTGAGGGACAGGCCATTTTTCTACAGTTCCCAAGAGTGGGTTTTGGTGAAAAATGGTCGTAGAAGAAAAGGAATGAAGTAAATTAAACAACAATGAAAGTAGACAACTGCAGGAAAAGAAAGTATGAGCACTATATGAAAAAGAAAACAGAGTGATCACCCAACAGAATGAATGGGAAAGTTGTCTGGAACAGAGTGAAAATATTATGTAGCAGAGTGCCACAGTATTGTTTGGAGACACTAATGGGAAGCAAGGGAGGGAGGGAGGGAGATTGCTTTTGCTTTCATGCAAAAAAATTGAGAATTAATAAAAATATTTTATAGAGACCGCAGAAGCAGGGAGGCTAGCAAATTCCCAACTTGAGAATATATTGTCAAGCTACACAGTTAGGGCATATGATTCCATTCATTTTGGAAGACCCATCTAAACAATGGATCCAAACTGAAACTCTATTTAAATTATTAAAAATAATGTTATAAATCAATGGTTCTTTCACCCAAAACATTTTTCAAAAACAAACAAGACTGAAAATGTCTTTACCAAAACAATGCTCTAAATCTGGAAGAATAAATATATTCCCTTGATAAAGGATACTGTACTTCTCCCCAACCCTTTTAATAAAATATGTAGTACAGGACAATTACTATGATCTGGCTCAAATGAAGCTTTGGAGAAGATATAATCTTTAGAATAAAAGATTTCTACAGTAACAGGGAAACTTTCAATAAAGAACAGATAAAAGAATGAATAGGTGATCATGTATTTTTATGAAACCAACTTAAATCTTTATTGATATTAAGGATATTAGAGCTTCAGCAATTCACCCTTATACCAGTTTGGAGAATTTAATATTTAACCATCTAGAACAGCCAAAAGGAACTATTTCAAAAATGTATTGGTTACTATTACAAACAGAAATAAGAGATCACCTCTTGGTTTAAAAGGAGCTTGGGATACTGAAGATTCACTTCAGCTTCACTGCAAGACCTTCAGTAGAAGATTGTATATGGCTGGCACTTGACTCCAGTCAAATTGGCACATACCTATCTTAATTATTCTTCCAAATATTGGAGAGGTTGTCATAAAAAAGGGGCTTTCTTTTGTGGTGGCCGTGTGACAAAGCTATATCCCTTTGGCATAAAACTGTTGATGAAATAAGCATCATTACTAAATAAAGAAGTCAAAACTCCCCAGAGTTAAGGTTACTGCACTTATTCACTGGACTGGATCTCAAGCTTGAAAACAAGAAAATTATTATTTACTTAACCTTAGCAGCTAAAATAATAATTGTCCAACATTGGAAAACTTTAGATAATTTAATAAATGAAAGATTAACAAGGCCTCTTCAATCACCATGTTAAAAGAGATCACAGATAAACTTATGATAATGAAACACCAGAGGCAGGAACCACAATTTTATTAAATTTGGATGGACTTTATATTTTAACTTAGTTGCAACAGATGTACTTTTGGCAGCACTTTAGATATACAGGAGACACAATGTTTAGTGAATGGTTCAGTATTGAGCAGGGAGTAAAAGAAGCATCCTTTTGATCAATATATTTATGGATAAACATAAAGGAATGCTTGTGCTGATGTTAGAGATGTGTTGGGAATGTGAATACTGTATATGTGTATTTTTGTAGGTGGGGGGGCAGGCAGTAGAATCTGCCATGCTGGGACATCAGTGGTGGCTAGGGAGAGGAACAGAAGGCATTGCTAAGACTGGGGATTAGGAGAGGAGGGCTAGAGGAATATGCTATACTAAGGACAGGAGAGAGGGACATCATGTACCAGCCTTACTTCATGTGTCCTGCTGGATTTTGTTTTGCCCAAAACCTGGAACCACCAAAACATTCTGAGTTTCATTTCTACTAAACCATGGCTCCCTCAAAATGGTCTGGAAAACCTTTAGAACACAATGGCTTGTTCTGGTTTCAAATCAATTTTTTTCCTGTCTATTGCACATGTCTAGTGGTAAGGTATTGATTGGTGTAAACTAAATTTAGTGTAGCTTTATTTTATTTTCCTTTCCTCTTATCTACTGTTTCTTTTGCTTATTATTTCATAACCCTTTTCTGTGCACTGCATAAAGAGGTTATTGTAACAGGTATCTATGTATAACCTAGTATAATTATACTAAGTATTAGTCATTCCTTTATCCAGAAATTGTATGCTGAGGGGAAAATAGGCCCCAGCAGCTATACAATTATCAGCACCTCACCAAAACCTACAATTCTCAGTAATCTTTGAGAATAGCAGTAAGAGTTAAACACATGGAATAGGCATTTTGTGGACAAAGCCAGAAACTCTTCAGTGAAAGATACAAATATAACATTTATTTAAATGCTGAAACAGAATTGAAAGGTAATCTTGGCTTCTAAAAGGACTCATTGTTCAATTATTTGAAGATTCCTTGGAAAAACATTGTAACCAAAAGATATTAAAGTAAGTCATACTATCAATAAGCATTTCACTGAACAGTGTACTATTTGTTCTTTGGTTTTCAATGGTAGCCAAATACAAGTTTTCAGAAAGAATTAAAAATCTTTTTTCACCTACTGAAAAGGGAATGTTTATATATACATGAAAATGGTGAAAGAATATCTCTTTCTCAAGCACGGTATACCTGTCATAGCATTTGCCATGTAGAAGTGCCTTTGCGTAGGCATCCATTGATGTCACTGGGTCCTCTTCTCTGTAACCTTGAACAGTATCGTCCAAAGTAACAAAGAAAGCAGCCTTTTCAATCGCATCCAATGACTGCTTGTTCTTTCCCCTTGCAAAATACGTTTGGCGAGCTTTAGCCCAAGGAACTCTGCCAGACGAATATAGAAACATTATGTAAAGTCACCGAACAATTATCCTTATAAAAAGAGTAATTTTACATTCAGATTTAAAGTGATGTCTAATGAAGTGTGTGTGTGTGAATATGTGCGCATGCCTTCAAGTCAGTCACTTATATGTGTATGTGTATGAGTCAGGTGGCGACTGCCTGGACAAGCCCCTGCAATTGGCAAGATTTCGGAAGTGGTTTGCCATTGCCTGCTTCCTCAGGCTGAGAGAGTGACTGGCCCAAGGTCACCCAGATGGCTTTGTGTCTAAGGTGGGACTAGAACTCAGTCTCCCATTTTGAGCCTGGTGCCTTAAACACTATACCAAACTGGCTCTCTCTAATGAAGAAACAACAAAAATTACTGCAAATTTCACCAATGCTAAATATGAAAAAAACTTGCACAGGAATGGAATTCTCAAATGAAACATTTACATAAAGCTTCCTTTCAACTTTTAACGATGCATTGGTTTAAAACTCATCTGTACAAACTAGAGTCTTCATGCAATCCTCAGGTACTCCCCATCCCCTACCCCCCATCCCCAATTCCCTGGCATTCCCTCTCTCTTGGCATCAAAACCATTTATCATGGCCTTTCATGCTGAAATGCTGCTAAAAGTCAGTAGATGGTATGATATTACACATGCAACTCTGCATTGTATTCAATATATCTGGATCCAATCCATTATGTGCACCGTATAGTGCATTCCTGCTATCCTCCTCACCTAAATTCCCATTAAGTGGACCCTAGTAACTGAAATAAAATAAATTTACCAAAGCCTACGCTCAACTATTCCTTAGCTTTAGAAGTAAAGTATATAAAATTAGTTGTAACCACCTGAACGCTGATATCCAAACTTTCAATTTAAAAGCAATACTGCTGCTAAAAAGGGGACAAATCCCACAGATGTTCACTTTACAATTAATCCAAAGCAGCAAACCAAACAACAAAGAATGAACAGACTACAATACTTGAGGTTAACCCAAATAGTAAACCAAAGATCAGATAATATAAAAGCAAAATCGTTTTTAAAAATTAAGAGGCCCTCATTTACCAAGTTTCCTACCTGTCTCCAGCAGTAAGAGCTGCTAACTTCTCTTCACCTGGCTGTGGCTCAGATTTGTCATTTAGAATCCATTGTATCTGCTGTTCAATCTCCCTGGGTTTTAGTAGTCTGCCATCATAGTACAACCACACTTTGTAATAGCATCCCTTGTGATATACAGCAATATGTTTGCTGTCCTTCAAATGCTGGATTGTGTCTAGAATTGAAATCCAAAATTTGCAATGAATGTATGTTTCAATAATAAAAGGTTTTATAGCTTGCAGTACTCAGCTACAAACTACAGCTACTAATCAATCAAACTGAATCAACTATTTCATTCAACTGTGTAAGAGGTGTTCACTCTTTACTGTAATATTCATGAAAAAGCAGCTGAATATTTTTAAAAAATGTTTTGGTGCAAAAAAACCCATTCCTTTTTAAATATACCCCAGATTGTTATCTTCCACGCACACAACCATGTAATCTAAAGGTGTCTGTACACACCACTCTTCCTAAATTTGGCATCATGGGAAAGTGCTGGGACTGGACAGTAACCTGCAGAATTTCCAGCTTTACAAGTAAGGTATATAAAATTAGTTGTATGTTCACCATGTTAGTGAAAGAGGTCTTGATCGTAATTGCTAGTGTGGCAGCTTTTATATGGGTTGAGATACTTAGCCGAATCACTGAAGTTGTCTTATGGGCAGGTAACCCACTTGGAAATGCACACATATAACGTTAAAAAATAAGTCTGTCTCACTTCTTGCTATTCGTTTTTAAATCTCATGAAAAAGATTCAAACATTCATCATTCTACCTTAACACATATCATTTCACATTGAAAGCTAGTAGTTTTCAAGCCTTCTTAGATGTTATATTTAAAAATGCTCAAATATCACAAAAAATAAAACTGTTCACATCTTACCGAACTGATATTTCATAGGCTTAAGTCAAGAAATATAAACACCATAATTGTTATGTACTTTGCATACAAATACTGCAGATATCAACACTTCCAGAAGAATGCATAAAAACAACTTGCAAATTAACTATCACACACATAAAAGCATTGTCTTTTTAAAATAAAGCCACAATAATTTGTGATTCAGTGTCAGGACCTGATCATTCTTTTTCACTATCAAGAGTTACATGCTGAAAAAAGCTTAGGAAAAATTAGGTATAAACAGAAAAGATTAGCGAGGACATTAGTAGTGATTTTAGATAATTGAGGGAATATTAACAAAAATAAACTGACTTATTAAAATTAGGGAAAATGGGCACAATGTTCATGACTTACGCCAGTTGAATTAATAGTCACCTTGTGAAGTATTATATGAGACTGTTACAAGGGCCAGTTCAAGAAAGCATTGTGAACCATTTGAATCTGTTACCGTGCATGCCTTTACTAAATCTTTAAATTATCTTTCCAAAAAGGCATATCAGGAAATTACAGAAAAATGCACTTTTAATCTACTCTGGTTTCATACATTTATTTTCTTCCATCTAAGCCCAGTTTGAGATATGATGTGCATTTAAGAAGACTCTACATAATCTCTATGGGAAGTAAGTTTGAACTCTATGGCAGAGATATATGCAAGCAAAGTGGGGATAGCGGCTCATTTTATTCTCTTGCTCAGTTATCATACGTAAGGTAAGAGAGGTGGGAAAAAGGATCCGAGGATACTAAAAGCATCTCCATTTGTGAGATGACTCTAGTACCATATTGTTTTTCCAGTAGTGACTCTTAATGAACACACAATATTGGGAATTAAAGCTAACTCCTCTGCATTAAATAGTATTTTCAAATTATTTATTATTAATGCAATTGAAATACATTTAATTACACAAATAAGTTAAATTTACCTAATTGTTGCCATCCTAACACATTCCCATAAGATGACTTTAAAGTACTTTGGACTTCCTAAATTATATTTTATTACAGTTCAACCCTGAGGTATATATATTCTCTCCTATTGGTATATTTTATCTGTTCTCATAGGCCTACAGAAGAAAGTGCTGGTCCATATACCAGCTTGCACAAAGTACAGCATAAATTACAAGGTGTTCTTAATGGGACAGATGTTCACTCATCTAGTCATTTTTTTCAAAGAGCAAGACCAAGGCTCTTTGGAACCTTTTGATTCATGTTTAAAGTTTTCTTGATTTAATGCTACGCTGAAATTCTTTGTTAGTTTTACTTTTTTAAAAGGTTCTTGCTATACTCACTTTTATTGTACTGTATGATACATACCAGTATGAATGCAGCTACAGTAGCATAAAAGTAGCATTAAAAAAAATAAATTAAATGATTCAGTATCCATTTAAGGAATGTGCATACGGATTTCTAAGATATCTCACTCTAGTTCGTTCTTTCATTATCCACTTTTTACTGAGATGACCCACACTGAAATGGCCCATGCACTTTAAGAACTGGATCTCATACCACACTATAACAACTTTCATTATAGTGTGCAAGAAAAATCACACAGCTTCGGCAAACGCAGCAATTATAGGTTGCAGAAATTTGCTATTTATAGAATGTAAAGAAGGGGCCAAATACATTGACAGGACTAACACTGTACCTGTCTCTATGCCTGGTATACGGCTAGTGTTGAACAAACGTTCATATTGAGAAGAGCACATTGGGATGGTTTTGTAAATCATAAGCTGAAAGGAAAAAAGGAAAGTCAAAAGATCCCCCAAACAAAGGTTTCAAAACAAGGAGAAAGTGTAGCTCTCACGAAGATTAAAGCAGCAGCGGAAAATAAGAGGACTCGAAGAAATGGAAACAAAAATAACAATAATCACACAAAACAAGACCTCTCTAGTAGGTAGCAAGTCATTTCCCAACAGCATTTCTTTCTTTTTCTTTAAAAAGGAAAGGAATAAGCAGAACTTGTAGAAATGCAAGCTGAAATGTTTTCTTTTTAAGCAGTGAAGTATTTTAAATGTGGCTATAGATTTATTCACTGGCTACCACATTGTTTAAAGTGTACAATTCACTCCATTTCCTTAGGCCATGAGTGTGACATCAGAATATAAAGCAGGCAAGGGAGCTTCCATGTCCAGCATAGGACTCCTTACAATACTTGTGGCTGCTGCTTAAAGAAACTACACTTTTTCCAGGCTTATACTATAGCCACGTGGGTTCAGGAAAACCCATATTTGAGTTAAGGAGATGTTAAAGTGCTACCCCCCTGCTGCCGCCTCAACTCAAAAGAACATTTTCCCAAGTGCACATGGCTGTTGTGTGAGCTCTGGAAAACTTCTTCAAGAAGCAGAGGACAGGTATAGAGAAGAAGGGCTCTTGCCCTCTTTGGATAAGAATACTGCATACCTGTACACTATGCATAGCGTGAATGTAAAGATTTGTTATTAGTAGAATAGAATTAACAGGGCATTCTGGCATTATTTTACACATTGAACTCTTTGATGCTCCATGTCTTCAGCTGATTCTTCTTACCTGTTTCATTTCCTGGAATACGGGAGGTATTAAACATCCTCTCCCATTGAGCTGAGCAGAGTGGAACAGTGGATCCCATCAGAAGAATCTATGCCGCAAATGAGCATTACAATTGTGTTTTACAGAAATAATTAGGATGTGAAGAGAAAAACATAAGTGAAGGTTAGAGAGATTACCAGAAGATCTGGGGATTCCTAGACCACTTCATGTCTGCAGCAACCTATAAAGAAGTCATTTCTATTTGAGACAAGAAGTTTTATGTGGTTTATCATGAGTGTGTGTGTGTGGGGGGGGGCATCTGCCATGTGACCTTTCCACAGGAGATGCCTTCTCTTAATGAAATATCATTCAAAAGTCTAGCTTCCAAAATCTATTTTTTCTTCCTAGATTTTTCAGGTAGGTATTCAAATATATTCCTTAGGATATTTATGTAATTAAGTATCTTCCACAGATCCTTTAAGACACTTTCAATAAAGCACTAAATTATAATCAACCAAAATGTGGGATACCACCTAGAATTTGGATCTCTTATATATCAGATAGTGCAAAGGTTCTCAAATTGGGAATCATGACACTTTAAGAAGTCATGAGCAACTTAGAAGGAGATTGTACATTTCTTAAAAAGCTGATCAGGCTGGTGTAGGCAAAGCAGGAGCACTGTCAAAACTTGCTCCCCTTTTTGGGAGCAAAACACAAAGGGAGTTTTGAGAAATGACTCTGGCCATCCATCAAAACCATTTATCAGAGTAAAGCTGTGACCAATAATCAACTTCCTGTTGGCTGGTGACTTCTGGAATGGCATGTAATAGTGCAGCTATAGCCTTTGGAGTAGAAGTGGAAATGTTTTAAGTTTCTAGCCGTTCGAAATGATAATGTTTTGTTGAGTGGCAAAAGAAAAGCTAAAGATGACCAATCTAACAGAGGTGCTGATAAAAGGGGAATTGCACAAAATACATTTTTTAGGAGGTTGTCATATTGCAAAATTTGAGAGCCCTTGCAACAGTGCCAGAATACAAATGTAAATTATTTTGTGTGTGTGTGTGTGTATGTATATAGACCTTCATTCATTCTCTCTCTGCACATTCTATCCCACACACTGGAGATCTGAGATCTTCCTCCTTAGCATCTCTGTAAATCAATTTTCCATTTTAAAAATAGAAGAAACACCCACACTGGGAAGGGGGGAAAACCTCATGGAACACAGCACACTGTGCATCACTGCCCTCATCGATATCTTTTCCTGCCAATGTGATTACTGCAAGTTCCCTAACATTTTACAGCCTTTGGCCACAAAATGTGGCCTACACCTGCATTTGCACAACTATAACCATACAGCCAAGTGAGAACTTGAGTTCTTTTTCCCATGGTATCAAAGGTAGCTTGTATTTGAAGGAAATTGTTAGGTTACATAAAGAAACTAGTTTGGATCTAAAAATACTTCACTGTGATTGCACTTAGGACAGGGATAGCTAAAATGGAAGTTGAATTGTACACTTATTTCTATATAGCAGCTCATGATAATATATATGTGTGTTGTATTCGTTCCGTATCTATAAATATATTGGTGAGCCCAAGTTTCTACCCATCCCACACTTATGAGGAGCCTGAAATACCTGTTCATGACAACAAAAGTGACAACATTTCTACAGTGGAAACTGCATAGTACAGCTCTATACAGTTTCATAGCCATAAGTCTAATTATCCTAGAGTTCTGGCATTACAGGCAGTCCCTGGGTTGTGAATGAGATCCAATCTTAATTCTGTCTTTAAGACGAATTTGTAGTTAAGTTGGAATTTAGATATTTAGTGTCAATTGGTCAAATGTTTGTCCTAGTATATAGTATATAAAATGGCAGATAGCGTTCTCCTTCCTCAAGCCAATGAACTGCTAAAACCACGCAATGTTTTCATGAGCCCCACAAAGTAGTGCATGCATTTGTTATTATGAACCATTGTACTTAACTCAAAATTTTAATATAATAGGCTTTATGGCAGTCCGTTTGTAACTATGAGTTGCCTGTAAGTTGGACGTTTTTAACCCAGGGACTGCCTGTATTTCAAAAGACCAAACAGTCATTATGGGTTGTAATAAATAGTCACATTGTGACTTTGGAAATAAACAGCTCCAAATCTCAGACGTGAAGAACTGTAGTAAAATAGGAAGGTTCAATACAGAGTCATGCCTCTATGGCAATACCCAATACTTCTGCATCAGTGTAAAATCATGATGGCAGGAAGCTACCTCTTGCAGAAAAGATGGGATCCAAGGGTAAATACTATTCTTTATTTGGTGTTTCCCATGCACAGCTCTGGATTTTTAATACAAGTATTGCAGAATCAACTTTTTCAGGAAGTGAGCATTATAGTGTGTTTCTGTGCAATACTGAAGGCCCCCCAAATATATGTATTTTAAATAATACAATTTTAATTTAAAAGAAAGTTAAAAATATTAAATGGCTTAAATCTTGCAAAGTCTCATGTGAACACATGGCCTGGCACAATTTTAGTGTGTGCGTGTACACGTGCATGCACGTTTAAATAAATAAAATTGAATCAATGGGTACCATGATGTCTGTGAGCATCACACTGCTGATTCTTGAAGTAGGTGACTATTCAGTATAGTTATATGAAAATGCTACTCTTTTTGCAGGATACACCAAAACCTCTCCAGAATGCTTTATCCCTGAGTTCTAAGATTGGAACTTTATTGCTATTATGAGAATAGGATTAAACATCCCACTGAATCTGAAGTTAGCAAAAAATACCCTAGTTACATGAGCCTGAAAAAAAAGCCCTTCCTGGTTTGTCATGTAGTTAATTTTAATTTGATTCCTAACTCTATGTTACTCAACCATCCTGTATTTTTTCATTTATCTTGCAAAGCATTTTCAGGTCTTGTACACATTGTATGTACGTTTGTCAGTAGAGTGTCTTATTTTTCCTCTCAGCAATTTGTCAATAGAAAATAATACTTCTTACATAGGAGATTTAAAAACTTAACTATTTCTGAAAATTTACATACTGGCTGGATTTGTTGTCTGTCCAGTTTTCTTCTATATAGCAAGATAGCATGGATAACATTGCCAGCTCTAGCTGCCTGCACAGCAGTTGGAGTAGAATACAGCAAATCCTAAAAGATGAAGAGAAGAGCCAGGAACAGGTGCTAAGGTATTATGCTCATGAGGACCACCCAGAAGCAAATATCACAGTAGTAGGGAAACAAAAGTATACTCAAAATATATAAAGGTTTTTCTTTGCTTATAGGTCCCTGCAATAGCATGCCTGAATAATGGTCTAAATGTCATGTCCCTGATACACCAAACATGGGAAGCAAAGGGAAGATAGGCTATTTGGAACTTTTTTTATCATCACAATCTAAAAAGTGGCGAATACGCCAATAAGGCTGAGACAATTCTGAAAACACAGTGTTTGAAGCAAAAACATACTATGAAAATTTACACTAAGATCAAAAATTTATGCTGGCCATGACATATAATCTGCTGACTTGAATGAATGAAAGGCACCCGCACCCTTGACAGAAAATTATTTCAATGCCTCCTCCTAGATTCCATGTTTTCATGTCACAGGACAGCTCTTCATGCATAACAAGACAATCTCTTGTTATGCCAGTAATATCACTGGCACACAATGAAAAAAAAATCCAAAATCTCTGCCTTTATTAGGACCAACCAAGACGACACAAAAAGATTTGCAAACAGACTACAGTATCATTTATTTGCCTTGGGACACATAATAGCTCACCTTGAAACAATGACATTTGTTGTTCAGATATGGGCACAAATTCTAGTCCAGGCAATTACATGTCAGTTGGGAAACAAGTTGTGATCTTATTCCAGCTGAATGGCCAATTTTTGGTAAAACTAAACAGTTCACTCACCATTGCAAAGTAATTACTGTTTACCATAATAGGCCCACGTCCTCGAAGATAAATGTATTCTTCCCACCAATCACTAACCTACAACAAAAAACATGATCTGATTCATTTATCTATGAAACTTGACAGGATATCAAAAGGCATATAGATTCATTATACACTTCATAGAGATCCACAATATTAGTCCAGTCTTCTCAAACACGCCACAAATTATGGTAACTTGGTTCCTTTGGTGCCCCTATTGGTTTTATATAAGCAATGACCTCCACCCAACAGCTTTAAAAGGAAGCTCATCCAACTCACTTCTCTTTCCTGTGGGAAAGGGAAAATGCTGTCTTGGTTAATGTTTGGCAATAGTTGTTGGAAAGGTGACCAAGGAAACTCCTGTCATTTATTTTGCTTATTGCAGAACAGTGTGGAAGTTGGTGCTTGTTTAGTCCTGCAGGGGCTTCCAAGTAATATTGAAGCTAAAAGAAGAATGTAGGGGGTGAGCATGTAGAAGATGACCTTCACCCAACTATGCAACTGCAAAGTTATCATACTCCCTAAGGAACATAACATATAGGGCTGAAAGATCAGACTGACCCTCACTGCATGATGGATAACAGGCAATCAGTCCTTTCTACTGTGATTAATTAATTTTTCATTTTTTTTTACTCAGTGCAATTGTTTAAAATAAAAAGATAAAGAAATCAGATTAATCAGGAAATCATATAAAAACTGCACCTCCCAAGCCAGGAAGCTAAATCGGAAATGGATTAAAGTAGAAGTTGGCAAATTTGTTTAAAGTTACAGGAAAAAAGGTTGAGAATCAGAATTAAAATTGCGCAATTCAAAACATTTTGAATTTGCAGAAAGCATTCCAACCATTATGTGTTCCATGCTCAGAGTTTCAAGCATTTTCTTTATTTATTTTGAAGGTTTATATATCCACCCAACTCATGTGATCATGACTCGATACATCAAAACCAAAGGGATTTAAAATTTAAAACATTTTGTGCATTTACATATGCCTTGAAACTTACTGTTTTTCCATGCAGAAAAGGGCTAGGATTAGGATTAGGCTAACAAAAGTGCCTGATGACTTAGAACAGTGTTGTCCAAACTTGGCCACTTTAAGATGAGTGGACATGGCTGGCTGGGGAATTCTG